GTTCGGGGGAGGGGGGGGGGGGCTGAAGCCGAGTTGGACCAAGTTCTAGTAGTTACCAGAAGAAATAGACATGCTCTTGGAAGACATGGAGCTGGGAATAGAAAAGTTTGATTTAACTGCACTGGATGAAGGTATATGAGCGTGCCGGCAACACCAATCTGCTTACCCAGACGGCGACATTCTTAGTGTAATAAACTACAACATTTCAGGAGTTACTGGAAGATACATGTCAGGAACAGTGTCGGTGGAGGAGGTCCTCGGAAATGCGCTTCTGCTGCAGTACCAGTGCAACCGTTTGTTCCCGTTGTTGCCTAACGAATTTTCCGCCGTTATGAAGTTTTCATGCTTTTGGCAAATTTGCTCTCATCCGCTGTCAGCTCGTTAAGTAAGGCTTAATGCATAATTCGGCTTATCGCTCCTTCCTAAGGCGAGTGTGTGTATGTGTGTGTGTGTGTGTGTGTGTTTGTACGTGTATATTTGTGCGTGTGTGCATATGTATGTATATGTGTGCATGTATGTATACGTGTGCGTATGTGTGTGTGTGTGTGTGCGTATGTGTGCGTGTGAGAGTGAACAACATATTTGAGTGGCTTCTGAGTAAAATATGCAATACTGTATACAAGACAATACAAAGAAAGGAAAAGGGGGAAGGGGAAGACGGCTGGTTCTTATATGTGAGGGTAATCTTAGGTCATGTGTTTGCACCACTTTAAAGGTTGACCTGACAATGATAACTTGTGAAATAAAGAAACAAAAGTAAGGCAAATTATTATGAGTCGTTAAAGCTGTGAGATATCAGGAAAAAAAAAATAGCGATTATGTGACAGGGTGTTTTTGTCGGCTTTCATCTGCCTTTCTGCAGCATCATCGACGAATGCGGTAAACCAACGCCAGCATGGTATAGAAGAATGCTGTGTAGCGATGAGTTACAGTGCTCACGCGAATTTTTTTTTTTGTGGACGAGATCTCTGATTGTACAAACTGCGCTGAGATGTCGAATTTCTGCAACTTGTAATGGTGTTATTTGGCGCTGCCACAACGCGAAAAAAGGATGAGGTAACCGTAGCACCTATCATGTCACCTCGTCAGTGGTTGCCTGACTGACAGCACTTAATCTAAGGGCACTTATTTGCTAGCACGGCTTACCATGGCGCACAAAAGCACTGTTTGGTACAGTGGATGTGTCCTCAGTTTGCTTGCCTAGTGTACTTCGTGGCTTTGCACCAATGTCCGTCAACATTTCCCGGCCCTGGATTCACAGGTTCGTAGTAACTCACTTTATACCTGCTGTGTTAATACTTTTGCTTCTGGAATAGCAAAAAATGAATAAAGAAAATGTTCTAGGATGTGCTGTTAGAAAAGAAAAATTTCCAAAAACTTCCTTTCCCTTACTCATCCCTACTTTTTGTAGAGAATTTTCCGGAAGTGTCTTCATTCTGAAGGCAAAGTCTTCGCAGCTGAGAAATTATGAGCGGTTGTGAAATATAACTGTTCCTTTTTACCTCTTCTTTTCATGGGGAACATTTGACAGTTACGAGTTTCAGGCTCGAAAGGTCAAAGATATACTTGTCAGTGGGTTTACGTGGATTTGATGGCAACAGGTCGTAAC